TTTTTTCAGAACAAAGAAAGTACAGGTCTGCCAAGCACCGATCTCAACTCAATCTTTATCTTATATTCACTCGAATCTCAGGTATTACCCCACTTCTGCCAGTTAATTTGTTTTTTTCTATAAAGCTGATTTGTTATTTGTTTTGTTCGAGTTATAACTCCTCTTGTTTAAGTTGCTTTTGTTCGCTCACACTAGCTGCTGATCATTATTTGTAAAAAAGATTAAGTTTTATAGTGTGTTATGATCCCAAAAATGAAGGGGATCTATCCTTAAAGAACTAAGTGTTCCTAACGGTTTAGAACAATGAACTAAATTTGAAAAGAGGCACTAACAACTAGACGAGCTAAAACAATATCAATATCGAGAGAGTTGTGTTCATGTTGAGAAATTCATTATGAATTACAAGTGAATGGTTGTTAAGCTTTTAAGCCTAATAGAGCAAGTGAGAAAGCTGATTGTTGTATGTTACTACTGAAAAATGAAAAATGATAGTTTTGTTTCATTCTGAAACAATAGTTCACTTGGAAAACTGAGAAATGACTTTTCCTAAAGAAACAGATCACTGAACTACTGTTTTCTGAAACAATAGTTCACTTGGAAAACTGAGAAATGACTTTTCCTAAAGAAACAGATCACTGAACTACTGTTTTCTGAAACAATAGTTAACTTGAAAAACTGAGAAATGACTTTTCCTAAAGAAACAGATCACTGAACTATTGTTTTCTAAATTAAAAGTGAACTATTGTTTACCTATTAAAGCTAATAGAGCAAGCTGAAAAGTGGTTGAATTTATTAAAACTGATCCAAATGCATAGTTACCTCCCACTAATTCCTTAATGTACTATGTATAGAATCACATGTTGTACGCATATTACGCTTTTTCTTATTATTCATATTTAAATCTTAATCTTTTTAATGTATTCTCCAAGGTTATGGCACCTTGTAAGCAATGGATGCAACTTTCACTTGATAATCGGGTCGACCAAGCCTATTTAGATGGTGTGCAAAAGTTTTTGGATTATGCTTTTCAGAGATCAGGAAAAGAGGCTGAAATACGATGTCCATGTTACAAATGTTGTAATACAACATTAGGAACTCGTGAGACGATTGATACACATTTGAAAGTATATGGAATAATTCAAAATTATACTTTTTGGTATCACCATGGAGAACATTTAGGTGAGCTAGTGTCAAACTCTGACGATGAAAATGATGATGAAGTAGAAGGTTATGAGAGTGAAGATGAAGTACATGAATTGTTGAAAGATTTATTTCCTAATGTTGATGAAGCAGCTACCCACGCTGGTTATGAAGATGTAGTTGAGGAGGAGCCAAATGTTGAAGCTAAAAGATTTTACAACCTATTGAAGGATTTGGAGCAACCACTATACCAAAATTCAAAGGCTTCAAAGCTTTCATCTTTGATTAAATTGCTTCACATCAAAAGTATGGGTCGTTGGAGTAATGAGTCATTTACCATGTTATTAAAAATGTTAAAAGAGGAGTTACTGCCTAATGGGGCTGATTTGCCAAATTCATATTATGAGGCAAAGAAGATTATTCGAGATCTTGGGCTTTCTTACAACAAAATTGATGCTTGTACTAATGATTGCATGTTATATTGGAAGGATGATAGCTTACTTGATTCTTGCAAAATTTGTGGTGCATCCAGATGGAAAATGAATAAACATACTAGGGAAACAAGGAATAAAAAGGGTAAAAAGATAGCCTCAAAGAGTTTGCGTTATTTTCCATTAAAGGCTAGGCTTCAAAGGTTGTTTATGTCTACAAAGACATCTTCTCTAATGACATGGCATAAGGATGAAAGAATTAATGATGGAATAATGAGGCACCCAGCTGATTCAATGGCATGGAAGTCATTCGATGAACTTCATCCTTCTTTTGCAATTGAGCCTCGTAATGTTCGACTTGGACTTGCTAGTGATGGATTTCAGCCATTTCGCAATTCAAAAAGCTCACATAGCATTTGGCCTGTGGTTCTTATTCCTTATAATTTACCACCTTGGTTGTGTATGAAACAGGAAAATTTTATCTTGTCAATGCTTATTCCTGGTCCAAATGGTCCTGGAGATGCAATTGATACATATCTTCAACCTCTAATAGAGGAATTGAAGGAGTTGTGGGAAGTTGGTATTGAGACCTTTGATGCATCAACTAAACAAAATTTTAAGTTGCATGCTTCTTTGTTATGGACTATCAATGACTTTCCAGCATATGGAAATTTATCAGGATGGAGTACAAAAGGAAAATTGGCATGTCCATCTTGTAATAAAAACACTTCCTCAATTCGATTGACTAATTGTAAGAAACAATGTTTTATGGGTCATCGACGTTACCTTCCCAAAGATCACAGATGGAGGAATGACAAAAAGTTATTTGACAATACAATAGAGAAAAGGCTTCCACCGAAAACATGTTCTGGAATTGATATACTTAATCAAGTGCAAGATCTTGAAGGGCAACCATTAACAAAGGATCCTAAGAAAAAGAGGAAGATATCACATGAAAAGAGAAAGGATAATTGGAACAAGAAAAGTATCTTTTTTGAACTTCCATATTGGAAATCTCTCTTGTTGCGACATAATTTGGATGTCATGCATATTGAGAAAAATATATGTGATAATATTATGGGGACAATCATGAATGTCAAAGGAAAGACAAAGGACACAATTAAGACTCGGTTAGACTTGAAGGAAATGAACATTAGGCCAGAATTGCACCCTATCCAAGAGGGGAGAAAGTTGAAGTTCCAACTGCGTGCTACACATTGTCGCCTGAAGATAAGCACAAGTTATGTCTTTTCTTGAAGAATTTAAAGGTCCCTGATGGGTTTTCATCTAATATTTCTCAATGTGTAAACTTGAAAGATCACAAGATATCTGGATTAAAAAGTCATGATTGTCATGTTCTTTTGCAACATATACTCCCTCTTGCATTTCGTGGTATGTTGCCCAAAGAAGTGTGTGAACCTCTTATTGAGTTATCTATTTTTTTTTGTGTTCTTGGAGCAAAAGAGTTGAGGATTAATGACTTGAAACATATTGAAGCACAAATTCCCATAATACTTTGCAAGTTAGAAAAGGTCTTCCCTCCTTCTTTTTTTGATGTCATGGTGCACTTGCCTATTCATTTAGCTGGTGAAGCTGAGATTGCTGGACCTATTCATTATCGGTGGATGTATCCTATTGAGTGATGGTTATTTTTTTTTAAATCTCTCATTGGTAATAGGGCATGTCCAGAAGGTTCTATTGCAGAGGGCTACATTGCAAATGAATGCATGACCTTATGTTCAAGGTATCTGCATAGAATTGACACAAAATTCAATCGGCCTGAAAGAAATTATGATGGGGGCATAAAAACATCAAATGGGGGTTTATCTATATTTTGTCCACCTGGAAAAATTTTGGGAGCTAAAGTTCCATGTGAGCTTGAAGCTAATGAGTTGGAACAAGCACATATATACATTCTGAAGAATTGTGATGAAGTCATACCATATCTTGAGTATGGACAGTTCGTTTATATCGTCTTATATTTCTTATTTCCTTTAAGGTGATATCGTCTCTACACGAAATTTATGTTTAACCTCAATTTTGTAGAGAGTTTGCACAAAATCATATAGTTAATGCTCAAAACTTGTCAGATGCAGAATGGGACCGAGAATTTATTGAATGGTTTAAAGATAGGGTGAGAAATATATAAACAATAGATTCAATATTTTAAAATTTTACTTATCGTTCTAAACTATTCAATGTTATCTTGTTTCTAGGTTGCACAATTGCATAAAACAGATAATAGTCGGCTCATGGAAGATCTTCTCTCACTTTCACGTGGTCCTACTAAATATTCAACACATTCTAATGGCTACATTGTTAATGGATACAAATTTCATGTAGAAGATCATGATCAAATGTTAAGGACTCAAAATTGTGGTGTTGTTGTAGTTGGCGAGAATGATAAAAATAGTGAGAATGTTGATTACTATGGAATTTTAACAGATGTAATTGAATTGCAATTTATCTCGGATAGAAGAGTGATTTTGTTCCGTTGTAACTGGTTTGATGTGTATGACAAAATAAAAGGAATTAAAAGAGATGAGTATGACTTCGTGAGTGTGAATCCGAGTAGATTTTTGAAAACAAATGAGCCCTTTGTTTTAGCGAACCAAGCATCTCAAGTGTTTTATGCTAGTGATAATTCCAACAAAGGTTGGCATGTAGTGAGGAAGACTCAACCTCGTGATTCCTATGAGATGGGGAAACAAATGGATGATGAAGATGTCGTAGTTGACTTAGAAAGTCCTTCACAAAAGAAACAAAAAACAACAGATCAATGAGGTTAAGTATCTTTTATGAACTGACTGAGATGATTTCTTTTATTACTATATTGTCGCACATGATTCTTGTTTGGGAGGAGGGGGTCACAAGATTGCTTTCTCCTTTTGATTCTTGATAATAACTTACTGTTAAAAAGTTCTATTCTTGATTACTTTGATTCTATTCTTTAGTTCACTGGTAACTATCTGAAAGACTAATTAGATTATGTTCTTCAGTTTGCTAGATAAAAAGTTTTCTTATACTTTTTCTACTTTTGGCAATTTTTGCAGGTTTAATATGAAAACTGAAAATGAGGATGGATCAATTATGAAGAGTACTATCAAATACTCATTTGTTGCGCCTGGGGCAATTGGAAGAGGAAGAGGACGAGGGCTTAAATCTTTGACATCAAAAGGAAAATTTCCAGCTAAGAGTTTAGTTTTTCAATCTAGTGATCTTGTTAAGCAATACATCCAAGAAGTTGAAACAAGTAAGCTTCTGAATATATGTTGAGTTCTTAATTGCTTATATATCTTTCTTATCTCTCTTTACAGTATATACATATCCTCTCGTCAATATATTATCTTATATCAATTTATCGATGAGTGTTACTTTTCTCCAGGTGCTATTGAGAAGGGATGCCAACAACAACTTACCAACGTCCCAATGTCTTCTAGTCATGAAAAGGGAGCGATAAATGAGAAGTCCATGTCTCTTGAGAAAGAGTATATGCAAGTTAATACTTCATTTCATCCATCTGCCAAGCAAGCTAAGCAATACATCCATGATCTTGAAACAAGTATGTTTTTTCATGACTTGTGTCCTTTTGCTAATTTTATCAATTTTCCTTGTAATGTCAATACAATACTTTGTCAAATAGTCATAGTGAAATTGTATTCAAATAGTAGTGATTTGTTTTATGCAGGTGCTATTGGTAAGGGACGAGGAACAGGACATACAAACTCCACCATGTCTTCTAGTCAAGTTTCTACTCCCTTTCGTTCATTTACTAATCAAGTAAAGCAATGTACCAAAGAAGTTGAAACAAGTAGGGTTTTTAAAAATCTGTTGTTTTTTTATTCCATATATAACAGAAAATAAACACCTTGATCTTTCTGCTCATCTGTAGGAGTTTGTGAAAATAATCTGAAATCTAGTCGAGGATTGCCATTAATCGATAAGAATACCCTGGTCCTTGAGAAAGAGAACACACAAACCAAATCCCCTGGTTCTACTGATCAAGTTATGCAGCCCTCCCAAACAACTGAAACAGGTAAGAAGATTTACGAATCCATGCGCTATCAATATGTAAGATTAAGTTTTATTGCTACAGTTCTACTAAATTATACTACTGTAGGATCATCTAATCCTAGAAAGGTAAAAAGAGTTCGAGGGAGCAACAAGTGTAAAGAAGTTGCATCACTTGAAGCTGGAACGAAGCTGAAAGTAACATTTTACAATAATCGAACGGTTGGAACAAATAGCAATCTATTTTCGAGGCACTTGGGAAAAATTATTCGTGACTGCAATATGTGTCCGCTGGGAGTATCATCGTGGAGTGACATTAAGCAACAGAAGTTCGATCACATGTGGGCAGCTGTTACGGTAACAATTTTGAATTACATTATCATTGTCTTTATATTCAATTTTTTTGTGCTCTATGTTAATGAAAATAGAGACCATTAGAATGGTCTTTACCGAAGGAATTCGTGACATCTAAATAGACAAAAACCTTAGGAAATTTAAAAAGAAGAGCATGGATATCTAAAAGCGAGAACTGAAATCTCAGTCACTCACACCTTAACTGCCATCCAGTGTTAATTACAACATATATGCAATAAGTTTTAGTTTACTGATTCATGAATACATATACCTACTATGTGTATTACAACTTACTTTTCCTAGATTTCCAACATTAATCACTGTTACACATCTTTTTCTTGCTCAATTTTATACATACTTTTGTATATTTGACCGACAATGTTCACTCTCCTTTTTTATTTAAACTCACTTTTTAATTATCGTAGGATAAATTTGAGAGTGTTGACTTGAATGATCATCGTGACCATATATTTGGATGGATGAATGAGTTATGGAACAAATGGAGAGGATACTTGCATGCTACTTATGTGAAAAATAAGCCAATAGTTCAGGCTCTGAAGAATATTCCAAAGGGAGTAGAAAAGAAGGAATGGGAGTGGTTAGTTAAGGAACATTTTTGTTCTGAAAGTTTTCAGGTATGCCTAGTGATCTAATAGTCCATATTTTTGAAGAATCCATTTTGCAACTCAACGTGATATTTAGATGTTAAACTTCTTTTTTAACTTGGTAAGTTTTCTTATATATTAAAGTTTTCATAACAATACAGGCGAGGAGCAATAGAAATGCAGAAAATCGAGCTAAGTTAAAGATGTATCATCATACTGGTAGCAAGCCTATTAGAGAGATTATTTATCAGCAGGTATTATCGAAAAATTACTTTCCTAAAGAAAATATTTAAGAAATGCTCTTTGACATGTTTCTCTTTGATGTAAAGGGCGGAAAAGATGGCAATCCGCCAAATTTGGCAAATATTTTCTTTGAGACTCGTAAGAAAGATAACATGCTTGTTGAACCAGAAGCAATTGAAAAACATGTGCGTTTAGTAAATTCAATATGTAAATTACTTCAAATTATTAAGGGATCTGTTGAAATGTACTTGTATATATTTTGCAGGCTCAAATCAAAGAAATACTAAAAGCTGAGCCATCTCTACCTAGCATAGAGATTGTAGAAAAGTGTTGTGGACCTCAAACTCGTAGTCATGTATTTGGCTTTGGAGGTGGAGTAAAGGCAAAGGATATGAGAGGTGGCACTTTTTCAAAGACTGAGTTACTGTCTGAGCTACGTTCAACTCAAGAGGAAAATAAATTTTTGAATGAGAAAAACAAATCCTTGAATGATCGCTTGTCTACCTTAGAAGATTGAGATGAAAGAAATAAGAAAAATGAAAGAATTCATTGCTGCTCAACAATCGCATAACCCGCATTTGACATCACCCATATCAATTGAATGAATGACCACTGACTTCTTTTGCTTATCAAGTAAGTAACAATATACCAAACTCTATTTGCGGATAGTTGTTTAAGTAGTTAGTGTATGGTTGAACTCTTACGAAACTAATGAAGAGAGGAATGAACAAATAGCATATCCATTATCCTTTTTGAAACTGGAAGACGATAGATTGATAATTGACATGTTTTCCATCAGCTTTTCTATTATTATTGATATGCCTCTTGGATTGATAATTTGTGTAGCTTAGATTAGATTATTGTCATGCTTACAAGAATAAGATTATTGATCATGTTTAAAGGAATTATTCACTTGTGAGGTACTTCGCTTGGTGATTCTCTTCTCTTAGCTGGTGGCTGTTTGACATATTTGTGTTATGATTCATGATACATATCAAAAAAAAAAATTTGTTTGTTGGATTGATAATGGAAAACTGTATTGCTTTCTGAGCATCTGTGATGAACAGAATACTAAAACGTTTCCCTGTGTAGTGGAAAATTTGATGTTTCAGTAGAATGATGACCAGTTTCGTTTACGATATTCTAGTAAAGATGCTGATTTAATTTGGTTGATAAAATAGGGAAAGATGAACTTGTACATCCACTACAAGTAGCTGTGAGATAAAATCATTAGCAAGTTTAAAGTGCTCAATTTACAGAACTAACTATGCATAGTTATACATCCATGATTTGAATTGCAAAGCCAGTATAAGTTCGGTACCGACAACAGTGGGTTTAAAACTCATAGCTCTGCAGATAGGATTTGGATTTGAGGGAAAAGAAGTGTATTATACATTGATTTTTAGTCCGGACAGAAATCTTCCAATCCACAACTCTTCTCTTCATTAAAGCTATCAGGAAATTAAGTGAAAATGGTATATAGAAACTAGTGTTTAAGATATATTATCTCTGCGATGCCAGTTTTTCAGGTGTTGCAGTGTTTTCTATTTTATCCACTGCGTTCATAGGAGAGGTAAGCTTGGATTGAGTGATCATACACTAATGCACTCATATCAGTAAGGCAATCTATGAAATTGTAAAGATCTGAGATGTTGTAAATTATTTCTTTGATGGCTGGATTCAATTCCTTGAGATTCCTCTCATACAAATCACAAATTCTATCCGTTGCTTGACTTATTGACTCGTAATCCATGAAAGTGCGAGTTGCTCGGTTCTGAGATGTCTACATGAGAACAATAGTGTGTCTATTTTCCATTTTACTAATGAATAAGGATTGAGCCTGTCTTTGCTGAAATTTTTAAGCAAAGAATCAGAAAATACGTAAGGAATAAATAAGGGGAACGACGGGAGGCGGTGGCAGCGGCGTCTTCGCCGGCATTAGAATTGTTTAAAAGATTACTACCTTCTTTATCTGTGTAGTTTCCATTTTATACAATACAATAGCATACACACATCTTTTTCCTCTGTTTTTTTACTTTTGTACAACTGTGTGCGAACTTCTTTTATTTTTTGCAGAACTTTGCATAGTGAAAGTAGCCTACATTTTTCTGGAATTTCATGCAGTCTACAGTTCTCTGGGATTTAATCCATTTATTATGAATGCAATCTGTAGACATAGTGAATGTAGCCTACAGTGAATTTAGGCATGAGATTTAACTTCTTTTATTTTCTGCAGAGCTTTACGTAATGAATGTAGCCTAAGTTTTCTGGAATTTCATGCAGTCTACAGTTCTCTGGGATTTAATCCATTTATTATGAATGCAATCTATAGACATTTTAGACTTGGGATACACTATTAAAGTTTTCTTACTGAATTTTTCTTATGTTCTTGCAGCTTGTTAATATTTTTGGATAAACCCTTGGTGAATTTTGGTGTACTTTTGTGAAGATTGAAGCTACAAGTCAAGATGCAAGTTTAGAAGATGCACAAGACCATTATTATTTTTCTAGTAAAGTTACGCAAAACTTGAAATCATAGTTTAGCTCGGGATATTGTTAATTTGCTAAGCTTTTTTTTGTTAAACAAATAGTGAAACACCATGGGATGTTTAACTATTTTTATATTTATATCTGCCTTTTGTATGGAGATTTACCATGGAAATCTTTTATTTATTGATAAAATTTATATTATTTTTGTGAAATGAAGATCCAGAAGCACTGATGCTCAGTTAGAGACCAAAAATGTTGCTCGTCTCTAAAAGTTCATCTAAGACGAGATAGTTTCTTGTCTCTAAATGTTTCATCTAGGATTAGACAACTTCTTGTCCCTAAAGGTTCATCTAGGACGAGGTGTTGCTAGTTGCGAAAAAACAATCTAAGACGATGTAGTTGCTCATCAAAAAAAAGTACTCTAGGACGAGGTAGTTGCTCGTCCCTAAAGAGTAATCTAGGACTAGTTCGTTGCTAGTCCCTAAAGGGATTTAACGACCAGAAATGACTAGCTTTCAAAGAAGAAAATCCTCTATTTGGGATGAGATATACAGTCTTCAAAAGTATTTTGGGACCAACTTTGATTCCGTCTCTAAACTCATTTAGCGACTAGCAAAAGGGACTCGTCCCAATTGACCTATAGCGAAGAAGCATTTTAGGACGGGTCGCGACCAGCCTTTTCCCGTCTCAATAGACTATTTGGGACTAGATTTGAACTTTCAGGGACCATATTTCCCTTCCTTAGAGGCTGTTTTTCTTGTAGTGCAAATAGGACAATCTGCAGTTGCAATAATATCTGAGGAATTCTGGTGAACTAAACCAAGCTTGTGCATAGCATGTAAAGAAGGATGACCTAGTCTTTGATGCCACAACTCAGTAGCTCTTGACTGGTCTGCTGACAATGATGGTCTTAGTGCACCATTAATGAAACATGTATCCTTGAAAATTTGCTTGACAATGTAAAGACCTCCCACTTCTTTACCAATCCCCCTCACCCTGCCATTGTAAAGATCCTGAAAAATGCAAAAATCAGGAAAGAATGTGACAAAGCAGGAAAGGCTCTTGGTTAATTTGGAGACTGAAATCAAGTTATACTTGAAATTTGGTACATGTAATACATTATCCACTCTCAAATCTGCTAAAACATCTGCAGAACCTATGTGAGTTATATCAGCAATCCCTCTATTTGGCATATGAACCGGCTCATTACTAGATCGGGAAAGTTCAACTACATCTTGCAACATATGGATTGAAGATGCTATATGATGAGTAGCTCCGGAATCTATGATCCAAGTTGGAGATCCAAATTCAGTTAGCAAAGAAGTAACAGTACCTGCTAAGTTGATGTGATGATCAGAAAAATGATCATTTCTCTCATTCAAGAGCTCTTGCATCTGTCTGTACTGCTCATCAGAGAACTTAGGTCCATTCCTCCCATATGATTGCTGGAGATACTTGTATTGGTCATCTACAGATGCACCTTTACTAGACCCTGTATATTCATCAACTTCAGATCTTCGATGATCATTCGTAACATTGTTAGCTGAGAAATTACGTTGCTTATCAAAACGCGGATTAAATGGCTTCTTATCAAATTGTTGGGGGTAAGGTTTTTTATCAACATTTGGAGGATATTGCTTCTTCCTAACTTCATCAGTGAAGCTCTTCTTTGAGTCATCAGACTGACCAGGACGCCCTACCAACCAATAACAATCGCCTTGAACATGGCCACCTTTACCATAATAATCACATCTGATAAATGGTTTTTTTCCTTTATAGGCAGGATTTCTATTGAACTGCATAGCCAGTGGTTCTCCCTTACCTGGTAACGCTGGGAATGGACTAGATCTCTGACTCTCATCTTCACTAAGCATGGCATAAGCTTGGTTTAAGGAAGGCTCTATGGTTTTCAACAACAATTGACGACGTACCTGTTCATACGATTCATTCAAACCGCTAAGAAATTGGAGTAACCTTTGCCTCTGCAAATGCTCTATGTATTCCCTCGATTTTACACAATCACATCCAGGTGTAGGAACTAAGGCATCGTACTCAGCCCAGAGCTCCCTCAATTTGGTGAAATATACAACAATAGAATCAGTTCCCTGCGATAGTGTAGCAATTTCCCTGTGCAATTGAAAAATCCAAACTCTGTTCACTTTGTCAAATCGCTCTTTGAGGTCTTCCCAGACGAGATGAGAATTAGATGAATACACAATTCCACTGAGGAGAGAAGGAGAGACGGTGTTCATGATCCATGATAATACGATTGCATTGCAGGTTTCCCAATCTTCATGCAATTCATCACTGAATTGATCCTTCTGGCAAGTGCCTGTAACAAAACCTAATTTTCGTTTAGCTTGCAACGCAATTGTCATGGAGCGTCTCCTTAAACCATAGTTTTCCGATCCCATCAATTTCGTCGGAATAAGCACCGATCCAGGGGTATCGGAGGGATGAACATACAACGGATGTGTATTTGTGATTTTCTCAGCGACTGATTGAAATTGCTGATCAGTGACGACTGTTTCTGATCATGACTCCGGCATTGTTAAAGAATACGATCAACTGATCAAAGATGAAATACGATCCCAGTTACGATTGCTCTGATACCATGTTAATTTCGTAATCTGAGCCACATCAATGGCAGAAATCTTTCAAGTAACTCAGAGAAGAGAAAGGAAATCAAATTGTTTCATTCAATGTAAAAATTGTGAATCAATGCAAGCTTAGTATTTATACTAGAGTTCCTATACAATTATATCTAGCTCATCATTTTGTTAGTTACAGATCCTAACAGAATTTAATCATCTAACTAACACAACTATCTAACTACCTCATCAGTTAACTAATTCCAATAATAACTTTTCTCGAAACAGTGTTTCAAAACCCAAAATTCCTAATTTCAGATTTTTTTCGATCAACACAACAAGCTCACACTTTAACATCTACCCTACATGTCCTATAATAAATCAACAGATAACTTTAACACCCATTATCTTTTCGAACAAACTCATCTAATTTAATAAAAGAGAAATCTTTAACAAAAAATTGTCTTGTAACATAGTATAAATTAAAAATACTTGCATTTAGAAGGTAAAACCTGAGATTAACTTGAAGGGCTCTTGAATTCTTAGCCAACTAAAGGAAGATGATATCCAATACATGTGATGACGTCTGAGAAGGGGTGGGTGACAACTCATAAAATCTGGTTGTGCCCTCGAATATGCAGATAATTAAGCAATAAACCTAAAAATAAAACCAAACAATAAAAAAGATAATCAAAGAAGAAGAGTTGCAGTTTGTGCTTGCCTGGTTTTTTATTTATTTATTAAGCAAGCAGAGAAAAAGAGATAGAGACATAGAAGAAGAGCCACTACGTGTTTATCCAACAGCAAAATGTAAGACACTATCTGAATGCATATCAGCTTGCTAGAATGGAATGACCAAAATGCCCTTATTTTCAAATTTAATGGCAAACAAGCAGCCATGTTGAAATGTTTGGAAACTGTCTCTTCTATATAAGAGAAAAAAAAAATATGTATTTGGATTTGTTAGAATTTCATATTTTAATACCCCCATGGTCTACGTGTGTGCATAGTTGTTCTCATAAAAAAAAAAAAAATTATAGCAAAGTTTAAGAATTTTACCACCGCCATACGGCCCATACCTAAGTCTAACCTTACTAGGAAACCTTTCATACACAGACAGAAACTTTCTTTCCATAATTTGGTTCCATTATAATTTTTCATAATTTGTAGTAACAATATTTATGTTACCAACTTTTAATATCTATAAATTATACTTACGTTGTGGTTAATTTTCAATTTATCGCACCATCAAGTCCAATGTCAAAATTGTAATCTATTTGCTTTTTCAGAAATCACACTCGCAGAAGTATCCGATAAACAAAGCAAAATCCTGATTGACGAAAATTAATTTTTGAAATTGGTCTCTAAATCTGGCGGTTCTTTTCATAAATATGTGCAGTCTCACTAAAAAGTTCATAACTTGGTGTAGCGTCCAAATGATAAGCGACTTGACTCTTTATAAATTAGACTTTGAACGCTATGGCATATCCAAGAATCTAAGGTAAAAATCTTTCTGGGTTGACAGGAGTCAATTTTTGAAGTTGGCCTCCAGATTTGTCTTTTCTTCTAATCACAATTTGTATGGTCTAACCAAAATGTCTCTATCTTTGTGTAGGAGAAGACAAATGGCATACCGCTTGATTCTCTAGTGAAACTAGATTCAAAAGGCTGCAACATACCAAAATTTCATTGGAAAACTCCACCAGGACGGGCTGCAATCAATTAGGAATAAGTGACAAGTAAAAGTGAACGGATGGATTATTTTCATAAACCTCCCTTTAGATTTTCTTTAATAACACTGATTTCTCTTGTGATTTGAGATATTACACTAACCTCCCTTATATGGATATTTTTGTAACATAATTTATTTAAATGATAATTTATCTATGTTCTTCCTCATCTACCATTAAGACAAATTGTAACACCTCGCTATTTGAAAAACTAGAAAGAGCTAGAATTAGAAAGAGTCATTTTTGGAAAGAATGAAAAAATCTGAAAAATTGGTTAAGTTATGTTGAGTTTGAGTTTTGGGTCAACTTCAAACGATCATAACTCCTAGTTCAGGGTGAGTTAGGTGTGCTACCAGATACCGTAGGAAAGATCTTTGAATTATATTTCCAACGCCGGCGAGTTTGCTCAATTCCAAGTTCGTATGAGGGAGATTTATCCATTCAAAGTTGAACTATCTAGATAAGGAAAGTCAAAACCGGATTTTAGAAGGGTATTATGGTCTTTTCACTATCCAATCATTTAAATTTCATTTTTGGTAATTAAGTTGGGGTCTAAACTGATTTGGTTCAATTTACGTTCATAAAAAAGAGTTAGGGTTTTGAGAGAAGAGAAAAGAAGGAGAAAAGAGGAGAAGAGACAAGGAATCGTCAAGTTCTTGAAGAATTGCTTGTGGATTTCGTCAAGGGGTGATCCCTACGAGGCATGTGAGATCACATAGCGTTGGGTTAGTTCACCCGGATTTCGTCAAGGGGTGATCCCTACGAGGTATGTGAGATCACATAGCATTGGGTTAGTTCACTCACGCGCCAACCATGCTTGATTCATCGTAATTATGTTCTTGAAAGAAGAGTTTATGAGTTCTTGATGAATATTGTTGAAAGTTTCGTTTGAATCTTGATTGTTGAAGTTGTTGAGAAGTTCTTGAGTTTGATTCATAAAATTAGATGTCGTTTTGAGTAGATTCTTGCATATTTTGATTATGTAGTTGAATCTAAGTGTTTGAGGAAAGATCCAATTGAATTTAGAGAGTTTAGAGTTGAAAAACGACCAAGAGAATTCATCAAAAATCTGGGAAAAGGGGTGGGGCACCGCGCCACTCAGAGCACCCCACAAAGTTCTCTGTAGTTTGGCCTCTAGGGTGCCGCGTCAGCCAGAGCACCCCATGTAGTTTCAACTCTGGCGCCCCGCGCCACTCAGAGCGCCAAGTTCTCTACCCTTTCCCACTTCTTTCCGTTTGAGTTCCCTAGCAACGTACCTAAGTTTTCTAGTTGATTTCTACACTCTAAGGTACGTCTAAACATCATGAAATAATCCATAAACATGAGATCATGAGACTTAAATCCATAATTCAATTTAAGGAAAGTTAAGAGTCAAGTCAAAAGAAGTCCATAGAGTTCTCCAAAAGTCTTTTGCAAATGTTTTAACTTTGTTTTAAGACTTGAGTTTTGAGTTGAGTAAAGAGTAAAGAGTGAAGTTCATTTCTTCAAGAAGAGTATATCGGGACTATGTATTCCCAAAGAGTAAATGTTTTCACATTTAAACAAGAGAGGAAACTCTGATTTCCAAGAGAGCCTTTGAGCATCGAGAAATTGGTTTCTCACATTTTCAGAAGCTATCCGTAAAGCTGGTTTTCAACAATCAAAGGTTGATTATTCCCTTTTCACCAAGGCGAAAGGTTCATCATTCACAACAATACTTATCTATGTTGACCACATACTTCTCACAGGAAATGATCTTCAAGAAATTGAACACATCAAAAGGTTTCTTCTCAAACGCTTCCACATTAAAGATCTTGGAGAGTTGAAGTATTTTTTAGGTATTGAGTTTTCTTGTTCAAAGAATGGAATCTTTATGTCTCAGAGAAAATATGCAATAGACATTTTGCAAGATTCAGGAATCTTAGGAGCAAGGCCTAAAAAGTTTCCAATGGCGCAAAATTTGAAACTAACTTCTACAGATGGAATTGTACTGAATGATCCAACAAAATACAGAAGACTAGTTGGTAGATTGATTTATCTCACCGTCACAAGGCCTGACATTGTCTATTCTGTTCGGACACTTAGCCAATTTATGCAAGAGCCTAGAAAACCTCATTGTGATGCTGCTGTGTGAATTCTCAAATATATCAAGGGTACTCCTGGTCAAGGTTTGTTATTTCCTTCCACAAACAATCTTATTTTAAAGGCCTTTTGTGATTCAGATTGGGGTAGTTGTCGAGCCACAAGGTCTGTCACAGAATACTGTATTTTTCTTGGAAATTCACTTATCTCATGGAAATCAAAGAAACAATTAGTTGTTTCTAGATCATCAGCAGAGGCAGAGTATCGAGCTATGGCGAACACTTGTTTAGAACTTACATGGTTAAGCTATATACTTCAAGACTTAAGGATCTCAAATGTGACTCCTGCAAAACTATTTTGTGACAATCAAGCTGCCTTACATATTGCAGCGAATTCAGTCTTTCATGAGCGAACAAAACATATTGAAATAGACTGTCACATAGTTCGAGAAAAGTTGCAAGCAAAACTAATGTCCTTCATATGTTCCTACACACTTTCAATTAGCAGACATCTTTACAAAGGCTTTGGGAAAAGATCAATTTGTAACAATGCACAACAAGTTGGGATTTCATGATATTCACTCTCCAACTTGAGGGGGAGTGTTGAGAAATACATATCTTCTACATATATTCTTGTATATTTAGTTTCCATATTAGTAGATCAAATTCCATTAATTGGGGATCACAATTTCTTACCTAAAGCTAGGCTAGATTGATTTGTATCAAGCTGTATATATATCAAGCTGTACATATATCATATTGTGAATAAAGAAAATCACTTCAGCAAAATATATTGTTTTCTCTTCTTTTCCAAGAACTAATTTACGTCGATTTTTAAAACTAACAAAAATTGACGGACATGACCGATTGTCCCTCAGTATTATCCATCCTGTCCATTGATTTAATGAAGACAAAATGATGCACATTCCGTGGATTTTCCCCAATTAAAAATCAAACACTTTTGACAAGTGAAGTGACTAGATAGGAACAATGCTACTTTCGAAGACTTATCAAGTAAACGTATACTTATATA